TTTATATATATTTTTTTTTACTTATTTTTGGCAATAAAAGCTTATTCTGATTCTGACAGCATTAGGATTTTGGGATGAACTATTGCTTTACCATGTGGCATAATATCACAGTCAATAGAATAGATGTGCAACACATCTCATATGCAATATGCAAAATCAAACATTTATTAAACTGCATGTACATACTGTCACAAATTCTGTGCACAACATTTCCCCTTGCATATATCTAACAAGGGTTAAGTGTTATCTGTGCTTTGGATGTATGTTCTATATATACTCTATTTACTTTAAACATATTCTATTTACTTATTTTTGGCAATAAAAGATCATTCTGATTCTGATTAATACATAGCATTAGGATAAGTAAGACAAATGTTTGTGTTTGAGACTGTACACACAGTGATGTGCAGATGTATGCATGTATGTATATTCAATACAACGTTATCCGCCTAATGCAGTAATCTTTTTTATGCTCAAACAGCAACATTACAGACTAACTAAAATTGAAAAAGTGAAAAAGCTTAATAGGACCCCTTTAAAAAATATGCTTATTTGTGCTTCATTATACATGTATGTATGTGTATATTAGGGCTGTGCAAAAAATCGAATGCGATTCCCCCTGCCAAGGAATCTGGTGAATCTGCAGCAAAGTGATCCAGGGGAGAGCTGCAAAGCCATCTGCAAAACAGCTAAGGGGCAGAGTCACAGTCTATCTATAGGGGTGTTGCGTTTTTAAGGATGCAGGGGGTGGGGTGCGTCTGCTCCAAATCACAAGGGCAAGAACCAGAACTCTCCAAACTCTCTGTTATGTGTCCATATCCTGTACGCATGACTGCCTGGACCTTCTGCCAAACCAATCTGTGCCTGACAGACCAACCCTATTCAAGCCATCGTGCCTGTGAGTTCGAGCACAGGTGCAACAGAGAAATGTGGGTCGCTCCACTCCCCCCTCCTTCACCATGCTCAGTTTGTGTCTTTAAGGACATGAACAGGTGTGTGTGTGTGGCCTGAACACTTCAGGGACTGTAACCCAAGAGGTCCTGATGTGCTCTGGTTCCAAATAAATGCTCACAACTCACCCGGCCCTGCCACTGACATGAACTTGAGAAAAGGCGAATACACAAAATCGCCCCTCCCACACTGCTATTTTGAAATGTACACACATGCTCAGTCTCGAACACTGCAGAATTTTTCAGTCGTCTAAAAGATGACGTTTCTATCTCCAAACACATCATAAATCATTTTAAGTACAGTGAGGTCTAAAAGTCTGAGACCACTAGGGAAAATGAATTTTTCTAATTAAATGCAAATTTATATTAACACCATAACAATTTGAGTGGAATTGTACACATACTTACTTGATTAGTAATTGAATGTTTCTAATTAATTTTTGCATAATTTTATTTTTTCAAAGATTAGGATTTTCAAAGCCCAAAAAAATCTGTTTATAGACTGTTTCAGACTTCAGACTCCACTGTCAACTTGTCAATATAAAAAAGAACAATTTAGAGTCAATTTTGGCATTTCATGGTGCTCTCACATAAAGTGGGAGTTTGAAGAGATGGTTCTTTGTTTTTTTCCCTATCTCAGCTGAACTCTTATTCCTTAAATAACTCAAATTCATTGCCAGCTACTGCACTTCACCAAGCAGGTGACTCGCGCCCCTGTATGTGACAGCTTAATGAGATAGTTGAATGAGCTCACATCTTTATCACCTCCATATCTGCATCCAGTTAACTTGCAGAGTCTTTCAATAATGCTCTATGAGAAAGATATGCTCACCTTGAACTAAAAGTAAGAAAAAATTACAATGGATTTCTCAAACTTTTAAAGGCCAAATACATAATTTAGGACTGCAAACTGATGACAGGCACCCCTTCAGGAGAAGCCAATAGCCAGTTGTTATTTTTAAAATGTATGTTAAGTTGTGAAGTACTACACTACCCTCAAACATAAAGCAAGATCTATCAATCAGAGAAGTTGTTACCATGGAAACAGGAACTGATGGACTTGCAGTCCAGCATTACTACCATTCCAAAGTTTGGGGATGGTAGGATTTTTTATTTTTAAGATGTTATGCTCACCAAGGCTA